TGTGGGATCTTCCCCGACTGGGGCACGAACCTGTGTCCCCTGCATCAGCAGGCGGACTCTCAACCACTGCGCCACCACGGAAGCCCTACCATGGTGTCTTTGAGAAGCCTATTCATTCCCTCTCCACGGAGAGGGTGCGTGGTTTACCAGCCTCCTGGGCTAAAGAAAGAGGAACGTCTCCTCGGCAGGAACTGAATGTGGTGCTGAGCGGAGTGGTGAGCATCACCCCCACTTGGACGATGGATGTGTGAAGAAGACCTGTCGAATGGCAGTTCTCAACATACACCAATGGAAAGGAAAATTGAGCTCAGCTGCCAGGTGCTCGCTGGAGTTTGGCAAGGCGGTGCTGGTTCCCAGGGAAGCTTGCAGCCTGCTTGAGCTCACGTTCTCCTGACTGCTCAGCACCTCCTCTTCCCTCTTCCTCAGCACTGGCTTTCTTCATCTAGTCTAAGGGGCTGGAAAGTTCTCTCAGGTGTGTATCTGAGCTTTTTGGATCCAATTCTTAGACTACATGCTTTGTATTTGTGGGCTTTGTTTTCCAGCTCTCTGGTGGCTGACCTCCGCCTGTCTGGGCTGAGGGCATGGGAGTAGAGGCAAACTGATGGAAAGACAACTTGAACAAAGGAAATTTTAGTGGTGGGAGAAGAGAAGGCGGGGAGAGGGAGTGAGTGAGCGAGCATAAGATTAATATTTCTTTGCAATATAATCCAGCCCCATCCACATATGTAACTAGAAGCAGGAACTTAATTCACCATCTACTACAAGATTACTCCCATGGGCTAAAAAGGGTTAATGCAACTTCTTAAATTTACTGAGAATTGTTTGCACTTTCTGCTCATAATGGTCCTCCAAAATGTCAAGTAAACCCATTCTTTTCCTTGACGACTGCCTTGTCTATGGTTGGTTCATCTAATTAGCCATTTGCCCTCATTAAAATCGGTGTATTTTGTAACTGATTACAGTTGTGTAATATTGTCTGAAGCAGTGCTGTCCAACAGAACTTTCCGCGATGATGGAAATAGTCTTTAACTACGTTGTCCAGTAGGGTAGCCAGAAGCCACATGAGGCTATTGAGCACTTGAAATATGGCTAGTGTAGCTGAGGAACGAAATTTTAAATTTTATTTAATTTTAATCAATTTAAACAGCCACACGTGACTAACGGCTCCTGTATTAGACTACACAGGTCTAAAATTTAACCTGTGTGCTCTGGTAAAATGTAAAGGGGGCTTCACACTGCTCCAGCCTCTGAGCCAATCAGTCAGCATTCTATCTGATGCAGAATAAACCTTGTCGAGACACCTAAAATGCTACCCTTGAATGAACTTCAAAATTTCTCTTGCCCATTTTTTCTACTTTCTCAGGTGAGTCATCCCTTCTAGAACTGAGGGTGGGTCCTCGGGAGACAGTTCCCCTTTGTGTGATAAGGTGC